GACTGCTGTAGCTGAACCCAGGACACCAAAGCAGGAAAGGCTGTAGCTAAATGTGGCACTAGACAACATTGCTACAAGAGAGCCAGAAGGGAGCAACATTCTTCACCTCAATGAAAAGCTGTTACACTGCTTCCAGTTTCAGACCAACCTGGGAAATGCCACTTTCCTCATCCAAGATGTGTTATACAAAGGTATCAGTTGTGTAGTGATGTATCCAGGAACAATGTTCTGTACCCAGTTGTGTTGCCAGAAACAATGAGCACCCAGTGCAGAATCTAACAGAGGTACAGTCTGATTTAAACCAGCAGGGCCAGGCATTCATGTAAAGAAAAAAGCAGGTAAATTAAGCTAAATTAAGCAGGTAGCTAAGCTTACAGTGTGTCTGCTTAGGCTGCTGCTGTGACCACTTAAGTGCTTTGTCTAAGGAAGCTGTGATGAGAAGTATGATAAATCAGGGATGCAATAAAATAATGATCAAGTCTAAATTTGTTTCATTAAATGTGTTAAATTCTACACATCAAAATGACTCACCATTTTTGGTTCCTTGAAGACTTGACTGTCAATCATGTCCCAGGCCCCCTGTCCCAAAGACAGCATCCTGAGGAGCAGCAGCATATCTGGGCTTTCCTTGGATTTTTAAGGGGAGGAGAAAAACAGCTGTTTTGATCTTCCACAAGTTGTACATATAAATATTGATTTGGAAGGGGTACATATAAATATTGATTTGTACATATAAATATTGATTTGGAAGCACCAACAGCTTTACCTTCAAAGCTCTCCAAGGCTGCTAGAGGCATTCAGTTCTCCCATTTATTGACAACTGATTCCTTAAATGGGACTCAAATAACAGACACATCTGGGGGTTTGTGGGTTTTAGTAACATTCTATAATGCACCAAGAAGTATGCAGCCAATCTTATCCTATTTTTAAAGATGTCCAGCCAAACCAGTATATTGAAATGTAACGTGGCACAGGACAGATCAAGTCATCTCAGCAGAAGTAAGGAGGAGAAAGTGTAAGCAGGACAATGGCGTTTCGGTTATATTGTGCCCTGAAACTGGAACAATTTGTAGTCTTACACTGGAAGTTCTTCAATCCAGCAATCAAATTTAACTCAGGGATACACCCAGCAAATGCCTCACACTGTTCAGACACCAGTAAGGTTACACTCCTTTCACATTTAAGTACCTCCTGCAGTCACTGCTTGCAGGAAGTGTATTGTATCACAGCCAACAGACCAGAACAATGTAAACTAATCCCCTGTATTTACCGTGGTGGGGACAAAAGGCTGTGGCTGTTAGGCAAACTGATGGAAGGACAAAGCAGGGAGGCACCTGTTCTATGTGTGCATAGCTGTTAGGATACAATGAGCTGTGCAAAGAATTCATAGGCATTTCAGAGAGCTCCAAAACGTCTGTGTCCAAACAGTGCTCCTGCAGAGCTCTGAGGTATTGCTACAAATGAGGAGGGAGCATCTTGTTTCCCTTATCTCAGTTTACACATGCATTTGAGAATTTAAACATACATCTTCTACACAGCCAGTCCTCTGCTGATGGATGCTGTTCAATTAAGACAACAGTTCAGATTATATACACAAGCTGCAACACTCACCCTGGGTAAGGTGTCCTGCCCAACTAGGTCTTGCAGGTGCCTTATGGTACTCAAGGCTAAGGTGTTAATGGCAAAGGGATCACACAGGATCATTGATAAGTCCCTGAGAAGAAGTAAAAATCCAACACGTCATACATAACAAATAATCCAACCACACAGTTTCCTATCCAGTTATAGACACGATCTTCCTGAACATGTGTTTCACTAGATTAAGATGTTTGATCCCATTCTTTGTTGCCATCCTGTCAACTATCGGATGTAACACCAAAGTAGTGTGTATGTAGGTAGACACAGGGCAAGTACTGGAACAATACCTTTACTATGATAATGTAAAACCTGAGTTTCTCTCTTTTGTTACCTACAGGTGTCTATCTGATAAACCTTCTCCATTTATAGCCCTGTAAAAACACCATTAGTGTTATTTCTTTAACTTGAATGTTATCTGAAAACAATTACTACAAGTCTTCTGCATTGAAATCACACAGGAGACCTCCCACAGTCAGTTACCAGGCCACAAGGGAGACTCAAGAGTGGTAACTTAATATAAGCTGTGTTGCCGAACATGCTTGGCTATGCCCTAGTGCACTAATGCTCACGGATGCACTGGATGTGACTGCACACAAGAGCTACCTGCTGTTAGTGAGGTCTGAGGAAGATTTAACACCTACAATACTTGCCAGATGCTGTGACTGTCCGGAACCCATTTTCAGTTTCTCGATAAATAGCCCAAGCACCTTACCCCAACACTTGTTCTTGTCCTTTCTTCACCCCATCCAGAAACCCCTGCAATTCCCGAGCTCTCTTGTTGTCCACAAACTTCTCCCGAATGCAAGCATCAAGGCACCAGGTGAACTGTCACAAAAACAGAGAAAGCTTTATGAAGCACAGCCACTCATGAAACCAGCAGTAAGATACACCATGTCAGACAAATCTGGCTCAGAATGACTGGGGCACCAACACAGGAGGGATGTGGAGCTGCTGGAGCAAGTCCAGAGAAAAAGCCATGAAGATGCTGCAAGGGCTGGAGCAGCTCTGCTCTGGAGCCAGGCTGAGAGAGCTGGGCTGAGGCAGCTGGAGAAGAGAAGGCTCCTGAAGGGGACACCTTAGAGCAGCTCCAGTGCCTAAAGGGGCTCCAGGAAACCTGGAGAGGGGCTTTGGACAAGGGCCTGCAGGGACAGGACAAGGGCAATGGCTTGAACCTGCCAGAGGGGAGATTGAGATGAGCTCTGAGGCAGAAGCTCTTCCCTGGGAGGGTGCTGAGGCGCTGGCACAGGGTGCCCAGAGAAGCTGTGGCTGCCCCATCCCTGGTAGTGTTCAAGGCCAGGTTGGACACAGGGGCTTGGAGCAACCTGCTCTAGTGGAAGGTGTCCCTGCCCCAAATGTTATTTGACCCCAAATTAAGGGCTTTTTCCTCCCCTTTCAGAAAACAACATATATTTCCCCCAACATTTCAATTGTCAAAAAGGACAACTTCCTGAATTTGCTATAAAGCTTTCAGCAGGCCCCCTGCCTTTGCAGAAGTCACTGCCTACTGCAGTGGCAAAATGAAGTTGATGAAAGTGATCTGTAACATGAACAAGAATTGCCCTTTTGTATTCAGTCACTGTCTGCACACTGATTTGGGGAGTCTTGATCAGAAGACATTAAAAATCATGCAGTAACATTTACCATCACTTTAGGACATAATCTCTATAAGCAGAGCAAACAAAACTTAGCACCATTACTTAAGAGAAAAAGCCTTGTTCTAGATCAGTGATACTAACCATGGACAAAGGACCACAAGAAGATCCTGGTGTGACATTAACACAGCTGCCACCCCCCAATATTTTAATAGTTTAATGTTTTCTTATAATTCAATATTCAAAGTATTTAATGTTACACACAAGTTTACCAACGGATGGAGTGTATCACACCCAGCACAGCAGGGAAGGAAGCAAGATCTGGTTAAGAACCTGGGGCTGGCTAATGTTTTTGATCGCTTTCTGCAGCACCTCCATAGGTCAGATTAGATACTGCACAAGTACCATAAACTCGAATGATTTATGGGTTATGAAATGAAAGCAAGCTGCTGGTTAACCAAGATGAGATTTTCACCTGAAGTTCCAAGGAATATAAGATGACTTTTGCATTCAAGGTCTGAACTCTCTTCACAGAGAGGAGTCATCTTCTCTGGGCTGAAGTCCTGCAGGGCAGCAGGTACGGGTGAAACAAAATTCTCCAGTAATACTCTTATGTGTCCCACATGATTAATACCTTATGACAGGGGTCAACAGTGCAGATTTCACTGATTTCCAGGTCATGCAGTGACATGAGGAGCTCTGCCCGTAGTGTGCAGTAATGAATATTCCTTGTGCGGAGGAACAGGGTTCTCAGAAACTGCAACACCATGTCATAGAGCTTCACGTTCTTCCCAATCATCTGGGTCAGCTTCTGAACCACCTAAACAAAGCAGAAAAAACGTGCACTCAGTACCAAGAGATGCTGTTATTTCACACACACACAATGTGAATTCATTCTTTTATATGATTTATCAAGATTGAATCATCTGCACTAACAAGAGTTCCTGGAAAGGAACTATTTATACCAAGATTTCCAAGAGCATTTGGTCAAGAGATGTTCACCAAATCTTTCATAGCCATAATGAAATAGAGGATGTCCAGAAAAGGTTCTCTTGCTAAAAGGAAATTGAAGCATTTGTAGAATAAGGTGGTCAGCTATGTGAAAGAACCAGTACCTGTTATTGATGAATCACAGAAATGAGCTTCTGAAAGCAAAAACAAACCCAAACCAACCCCCCCCCAGGCAACAGAGTGCTGCCCTCTCTTCAATTAAAGCTTTCTGCTGCCTTATCACTGCAACTTCTTAGCATTCTCCATAGCAAAGGTCCTTACAGAAACTCTGATGTTTCCATTTTGGAGCACAAACCACCCAAGGTAAAGCCACACACCACACCTGAACCACTGTAATGGCTCACTGTTGCCAGGAAGAGATCCACTCCTCAACACCTCTGCCACTGTTCCCTCCCACATCAATCCTGCCTGTGTGATCCATCTTCTTACAATGGCTTTGGTGCCAGATGATCTATTCTTTGAGCAGATCCAACTCACTCTCTTGGAAAATGACTCACTGGTTTTATTTGCTAGTTTCCATAGCAATTACTGAGCTGAATCAGCTCATGGAAGGGTGACAATCTCCAGAGCTACAGGTACAGAGGAGCAGCCCCTGCCCTTCCTATGGCTGAGTGCTGGATCAGCTCAGCTACCTCCTGTAATCCCATTCAAAGAGCAACCTCTCTGAATGCCAGCTTAGCTACAACTTGCCATGTCCCTTTCCATTTGTACAAAATAAATGAATAACTAAAGTTTTTGTTGGCCTATGTCCTCAAGAAAAGCAATTTAACATATTCAAACTGATCTGATGGAGGTCCTCGGCCTTTAGAGGCGTATTAAAGCCACACTGAGCAATAAAGGAAATTTGGCCTTCCTATTTTTTTAAAGCACATAAACAGCTCAGAATATTAATGACTTATTGTTCAGAACTGAGTAACTCTTAACGTAATTCCTGCAGCTTTCATCAAGATATGTAGGAAGAGTCAGCCTGGTATTTCTGGCAAGTACTTGTGTCCAGTTAAACAGCTTCAGTAGCAAAGTTGGGTGGGTGAAATGGACATTCTTATTTGCTGAGGTGGACTGAAAGCTGGTGAGTTCCACTCATGAGGCTGTTGTCAGAGGTTTCCTTGTCCTTACCTCTCCTTGACGCCTTGTTTTGGGAGATGGACTGAAGAAATTGTGCAAGACAGAAATGTCACTGCTGAAGAGAACGTTCTCCTTCTCCAGGATGTATTGCTTCAACAGTGGAGATACCTCGTCACCAAACAGAGCCTGGTTGTCTTGCCAAATCTGGCGCTTCACCTCCACTGCACATGCTTTATACAAGTCCTTATCAGCCATCACTAACTTCAGCTTCTTTTCAGGGACCTGCAATCAAGACAGCAGTTACCAAGTGCAGAGCAGCTCAAGTGCCTAACTGTGCAAGGATTAAGGAACTGACTGCAGAGGACATCTAAATCATAACCTGGTAATTTAATCAAGGATTTAAATATAGGCAGTATGAGACTCATCTTTTGCCTCACCTACCCCTGTAAGCCAGACCTCAGACACGTAACTTCAACAACAACAAAGTGACACCCCAAGCTTTTCTTACTTCTTTCAAAGAGGACAAAAGACTTCCTTTAAACCTCTGATGCTGAGATCTGGGATGATGTTTCAGTAACTTACAAAAGTTCTAATAGCTGTTTTAAAGCCATTACCTTAAGTACAACATGATGCTCTTAATAAGGGTACTCCACGACACTTCAGTTTCACAGATCTTAATCTCACTCCTGTCTACTTCTAGTTGCAGTCTTCAAATCTTATCTTCCAGTTGTCACAGATAACTTTTAGGAAGCCACATATATTGAATAAAACAGGGAAACAGCCTCATCTGACTATGAAAATGTAAAATGCTTTTTGAATTACTCTAAGTTATTACCAGATACAAGAATGTAGTAAATCTTCAGTCGGTTCCTAACACTGAATGACAAACTTGCATTTGTCTGCAGATGGAGCACACAGCCCACTGACAGCACAGCTAAGAGAAGCTGCACAACGGAGATGGTTTTACCTTGGGCAAGTGCTTCATGACACACATTACCACCGGCTGGATGGAAGGCATCTTGACCAAGGAAAAGCTCTTCTCTAGGAGATCTTCCAGCTTCTTGTATCTGAAAACACACAAAAGCAAGAGATTAAGCACCAAATAAGAGTAAAGCACTAAAGTGGCTCATCTCAAAGCCACCAGAACGTGACCCCCGAGGAACCCAGCCCTTGCAGAAGTCACTCGTCCACTGTAACTAGTTTTCACACAGAATTCCCAGCTCGCTCCAAACGACCAGCAAGACTTAACAAACCTCTCCTCGACTTTCCCTTCCAAGGCGATGGCAGAGACCCTCTCCAGCAGCTTCTCCCTCAGCTCATCGAAAACCGACTGGTGGAACTCCAGCCGCGGGGTGCCGTGCAG